CCTATCCGTCTATCTGACTTGCTTCGTATGACACCTGAAGTATGTAGCTTTTCTCAACCCTTCCCCCGGCAAAAGTCTGAACCGTAAACACCAAGCTCTTATTTGCCAGCTTCTCTCGCAGTTTCTCCAACGTTGGCTGTGGCCGCGCCTCGCACATCTGATTCAAGAGGCCGATTCGGCTTCGGGTATCCCTAGGCCTCGGTAAATTTTTCAATAATATACCCCTAAACCCTAAACCCCTAAACCCTAAACCCATGTCAGAATATGCTAGGGTTTCGAGTTGCGCAGTGCTGTACATCGCATCTCATTGCAGGTCCTTTGTCGAAAGGGTCCATGCACCCACAGAGTATGTACTTGCTACAGTCAATATATAGGTCTACAACAAGGGTACATAGACTCTTTGGGTTTGGCATCTCGAGGTCTGCCTTTGGCTCCAGTTGACGTGCCCGATATTTCACGGGATAACACCTGCCGTGGTTTTCGAATTGTCTCCTCGGGTCAACGGTTCACGGTTTGATTTGAGAGCTTGGTGGCTGGCGGCTGGGATTCGGGGCTCGGGGCTTACGGACTGGGCGACTTTCGGACTTTTTCCTGTCAGAAAGACCCGAACCCTAAACCCCAGATAATACTGCAGCACACCCCAAGGGCCAAGCCCCCGCTCTTAAGGCTCCTGCATTGAAGATTCTTGCCTGTTCAAGAGCGTGTGCAATGTGCGAGGCGCCATTTCTGCCACTGCGCCGTGCACTCCGCAGCCTGGCAGCGACGTTGTGGACCCAGGCCCCCGGCTTTCGTGCCGCACAGACACTTACTGTCTCTGTGTTAAGTTGCAGTACCATCCTGAGTTTTCTGTTCATATGACAACTTCTGTTTTAGTTGGTGCAGTAATTACTACATAAACTACTATCATGAGTTGATATTCCCATGGCAGATGCTTGAAGGCGCCTCTCGGATTGTCGGGATGCTGGGGTACAGGATTCGTCGATGGCATTCAGAGGTTTTGGCTGGGCGGAGTGGTCGTTCAAATGAGAGGTTTCAGCGTCCTGTCATGTCTTTCGCTTTCATGACCTCTTCGAGCTTAATTGTAGGGATGTTCACGACAAGCCGGCGTTTTCCAAGCACTGAGTCACTGAGGGTCCTAGGGCTTTCTGGGAGAGTTTGGTTTCCAAGTTTAGCAACATGAAAAGTCCTTGTGGAAACCCCCGGAACATCCCAAACTGTGTATACCCCCATATGCAGAGGACGGCGCGGAAGCCGCCGCCGGTCTGGGAATTCCTTCCGCAGGGGATGCGGCCGCGAGCTAAGGGGAGAACCGGGGCCCAAACGGGATACCCTAAAACTTGCTTGGGTCCTGTTTGGGCGAATCCTCGCTTTGAGGATCCGAGAATGGAGGTCCAGGGCCTAGGGCCTAGGGTGCTCAGCAGCCGATAGTACGGAAGCAGTACAACCACCATACAAGGACTACCAGCAGTCAGACCTGCAAGCGGTTTTTTTGGTGTAATCTCACTTCGTTTCAGAAAGAAGGCAAGGGAATTCGTGATCTTCGGGCTGTGCAGGCACCACAACTCGAAGCAGGATCAGGGGGTGTTGGGGGTGAGGACTCAATTGGAACGGGGTTTTGGGGATACCTCTTAGTATAGGTATGGTAAGGAGCCCTGGAACTATTCATCACGAGCTATGAAGATCACCGCCGGGTTTCTGCTAGCCTTCTTTGTACCAGCGAGAATACAATACAGTATGATTATGATACAGTATCATGTAGTTAGTATAACATAGTAAAATATAAGATGATATACTTCGATCTAGTACAAATTGGGACAGTGATCTGTTACCATGTTGAGCTTGCGCTAGGTTTCCAGCACTGTACACCATGCAAGTGTCACTGTATCATGGTTTATCGCCGGGATTTTCTGATCCATCAACGCCCCGACTTGTTGCTGAGTTCACAGCCTTGGCCAGACTCGTGTACCGGTTAATTGTGTGTATGGGGTGTTGCATGACACCTGGTCGTGGTAGTCAAAGGCGAAATCGACCACCGATTCCCAACCTTGTTGAAGCATCCAAGGTCAAGATGCCCCCAACTCCTCAACATCAATCACTTAGTTTAAAATTTAAGACACTCTAAAACAAAGCCCCCCAAACCCCAAGCACCGAGACACCGCGGCCAGGACCCAAGCATCGTGAACACAAGCATCCTGAACACCAAAACACGGTAGAGCTTCTGCATTGAGGAGGGCTGTTCAGGGCTTTCGGGATCTAGGGTCGTCTGACGGTTTAGAGTCCCTGCTCTTGTCCATAAAGACTGGGGGTCTCCCCCTTTACCCCTACTCCTCGTGCTGCACGCTCAAAACCAAACAAATTCCACATAAACCCCTTCTTGTCGAGAATTGTTGCACCCCTCAACTCCGTCTGCACCGAGGCTCTCCTGCTCCTCGCGCTGACCTATCGCCAGGCACCGCTGATGGTGGCCCAGCCGCGCCCTTGGGAAATTCTTCTGCAAGCTCATGCAACCCCATGCTGAAAATCCCCAAACCCCAACCCTGAGCCCAAACAGAGCTTCAAGAGCCGAACCCCAACCCTAAACTCCCAACCCCCGACCCTAAGAGAGCCCCGAGCCCTAGATCCCAAACCTTAAACCTTGGACCAACCCTCAACCCCAAAAGAGCTCTGAACCCTACGTCCTAAACCCTAGGCGCCCAACCCTGAAACTTCAGAAGTATAGGCGGGCATGGCCCATGTTTAAATGCAATGCTGCTGTTCTGTGGTGGTGCATAGCGCTATGTCATAGGTGGTTTTGGGATATATGTTTGAAGGAATGCTTGCACAGTAGCATCGAGTGTTGCAACGCTTGTAACACTTGCCAAGTTCTGTGCCAAGTATGTTTGGGCGGTTCTCCCAAGAAACTTTGGAATGGTCATTGTCCCCGGGGTTTTCAGTATCCTTAAGCCTTTTATCACCTTGTAGAGCCTTTCTAAACATAGCCCTCAGGGGAACCCCTTATTTGCCAGCTAGCTGACACCTTTATGCAGCGTCTTGTTCGCGGTTTTGTCCGGTGTTTGATTGTGTTGTGGCTGCCGTGCTCGGAACCCAGAACCCTAAATCCTACGTCCCTAAACCCTAAACGCCCTTTACCCTCAGCCCTACTTAAGCCGCGTTCTTCTGGAGGGCGGCACCCACCTCTGCGGACGTCGGTCGTCGTCTAGCGGAAGGATTGCTTGATCCTTGGCTGAATTTCAGGGGCTTCAGTTTAAGGTATAGGGACCTTCATCACTTGAATAGGTCATTGGGGTATCATCATCTCCATTTAGTGTAGCTAACTTTAAAGGCCCCTATATTACAGGGCTTTCAGGATTCTGTTTGGCGGGGGCATTAGGGTCGAGATGGGTCGAGGTTTCTTTGGGCTGTTGTTCGGTGTTCGTGACGCTTGCAGCAAAGAGTTTGCTGAGGGATTTCAGCCCACAGCGCTGCCTGCTCCTTTCGTCAGACGGCTGAGGGGTTCCTGTGTTCAAGTTTAAGATCTCCCTCCGAAACCCTGAAGGCCCTATTGTGGGATCTCTGTGTCATCAGCCTCCAGTACCTGCCCGTCGGAAGAACCTGGCCCCAACACCCTGAACCAAAGGACTCTCATTTCCAAGACCCACAGCATTCAAGAAAAGCTTAAATAATTACCAATACTGTTTTCGTGGTTCCTTATTATGGTTATATTGTAAGAATCGCCAAAACCTTATTCTAAGTATTAAGATTCGCAACAGTTACATCTCCAAGCATGATTGTCTCAAGGCTCCGGGCTTAGAAGCTCTAGACGTGGCATTGCATCTGCAACCAACCGGATGAGATCTATCTATCTATCTATCTATTTTTATGTGGTGTGTACATCCGAATATACATGCATGTATCATGCAAGGTCCGCGCTTCAGGCAAGCGCAACTGCAGGTCAGCTGCCCCCCCAGTGCAACCTCTCGGGGGAGATGACTTGGAACCGGGTCCTGCACGAGAAACAGTGTAATGTAGAGAGCCTATCTTTCATGCTTCAGCATGACGGTTTGCAAGAGAGCCTGTTTCGTGCACGAAAACTTCGGCCTCATGTAGACCTCTAACATTTAAGCCTCCAGAGGCAGGGCTCAGTGTTGGGATCAGGAACTTGTACCTTTGCGGTGTGTTGCTTCGAGACTGGCAGCTTTCTAACCTGACAATCTGCAGACCCTAAAGCACACTACCACCCCACCTTTGCCTAATCCTTCCGGGGTTGCATGTCACAGTCGAAAAAGCCCTGCACCCTAAACCCACTGAAAGAGTTTACACAAACACGTCGGCCGTTTTACTAGGAATGTGAGGCACTCGGCTCGAGTTTGAGTTTCATGTTCCCGGACAGGTTAGCACGAGAATGGTCGAGTCCTTGGGTTAAGGCCGAGGTTGCCACAATTTTTCGAAGAGACCAGTAAGCCATGCAGGATTTAGGGGTGCGCCCTGTGCTAGTGACTCCCACTTGTGTCCTGCGCATTTGCAGAGTGCAGTGAAATTCCGGCTGCATCTTTTCCAATGGCTGTGGCGCCGTCTTTTGTGGACCAAAGCTGCCGTTGCAGTTGAACTTGAAAGTCAGCGGAAGCCTTAGACTTTAGATGCAAATTTGTGAAATGAGCCCCCCACCCCCCGCCGCCGCACAAAAGCACTGCTCCAATGAATTGCCTACTTATTCTAAACCCCATTACTACGGATGCTGGCTCAAAGCCAGATTGGGACAGGCAGAACAAGCCATGAACTTCTGTTCGCACTTCAAGAAGTCGATTGCTGAGGTCACACAAATCGGCAGCAGTATTCCTCCTAATGATTCATGAGTATGATTATACACCCCGCAGCCTCTTTCATAACATATGTGTCTATTTATTAATTTATCCGTCCCTTCTCTTTAATGTTAGAGTACGAAGCATCTCAATAAGACCAGTCGTAGAAGCCACGCCAAGTAGTCCAGCCGCTACCGTGCTGCCCTGCGGCTACGCATCCCGATGTCGGACACCCTGAGTCGCTCTGGGCTTCCAGCTAGTTCGTTTCCCTGCAGTTTGGCCATCTGCCTGAGTTCTAAATGGGATGTTTTGAACGAGTACGATCGTAGGTCGTAGACCGCTCTCGGAGAGTCAGCAATAGCTGTTCGTTGCTTCCCTAAGACATGAAGAGGCAACAGAGTGGAGTATGGCACGATCTCTGCTTGCGATCACTTTAGGCTTAAGCCCTAAACCCAAAATTATTCACCATGTTGACCTAAAGTTCAGCCTTTTACAGTTTCAGTTTCAGTTCAATTTCGGTATGACCCTTGGGACAATCAGGCGCGGAGATTCGATTACAGCCGCTCTGAGCGTCAAGTCAACCCTGAACTCCTGACCTTTCAGGTGCTGAACAGGTGAATAGGGGCCTCAATAATTACCTATACTATTTTGGGGGTTCCGTATAATAATATAGTATAATGGGCCCCAAAACCCCATTCTAATTATTAAGGCCCCTATTATTAGGTGAATAGGGATTTAGGTCTTGTGGTGGTCCGATCGGCCTGAGGGGAGGAGACGTGAAGCAGGAAGTCTTTGTCGCAAAAGCCCGAAGTCTCAGATGCTTCCGCAAGCTAGGTGAAAGCTACACCTTAAACCCAACCGAACCCTAAGCCGCTAACGCATTAGACTCTTAAACCCGTCCGCTTTTGTTGAGGCTCAGGGCTTCGGCTAGTACTTCAGGTTGAGGCTGAGGGTGAGGGTGTAAGATTTAGGGTCAGAGTTTTGCAGGATTTCGACCGCCGCAATTCCAAGCCAAAGGTTGGCAAGGTAGGCTCTGATGGTATGCCGAAGGATCAGATCCTACAACCCGAAAGCTTGAAATCATAGGGACCAAGAAGCTGATTAATCAAGCAGGTTCGAACTGTGGTTGCTTGGGCAGGTCACAGCTTCCAGCTCCAACTAGGGTACCCGTCAGCATGCCGATGAGCCTTGAAGCATAGAAAAGGCGCTTGAAAACATTTACATATATACACTATATGTATCCCTGTTTGCGACCGCTATTGCTGCTGCTGCTGCTGTTACGACGCCATTAATACCCCCCACCGCCACCGCCACCACCACGGCCACCACCATCACCGAAAGCACTATGCAATACAAATTACTGACCAACAATGACAAGACACGCTTGATTACAGGACGGCTCCGTAGCCTTGAGAGCTAACTCAGCCGGGCTTCGATCTTCAGATGCGAGTCTCCTCGAGGTCCTTTGTTCGAAGATATATTCTCTTCCGCGCAGGATCGCGTGGCCAAATGGCGGCAGAGCTTCCAGAAGGCCCAGCTTTGCAGGGTCCAGACTTCCGCGGGGGGGGGGGGGGTGGCCCAGCGTGCCAGGCTTGCTTTGGAGGTGGATCAGCTGCGTCGGAGGGCTTCGGTGTTGAGTCAGGAAGTCAGAAGCCGATGCTTGGAGGCTTCTGTGTTCCACCCACAATCCCTCAAACTGTCTTCGAGACAGCCTGAAGCTTCCGGGGCTTAGCTTTAGAGTACTTTAGAGTTCAGAGTTCGTGTGTCTTCCCCGCAGTTCAGCAGTGGAAGTCCGCCGAATTTAAGCTGCTGTCCTTTACAAAGCCGGGCCGAGGGAACATTATCACTTTGTGACATTGATATTTGGAGATCCGGCTCCTACTCAGTTCGTGCACTACCAGGTCACTACCATCAACGCCACAGTAAAACTGTAGATGCATCAAGTTGAGTGTCCAGCTCAAGTGAGAAATGCCTAGGTTCACGAAGAATGAAGACAGTTTATAGAATCATTGATGTAGACCCCTGCTTAACGAGCCACAGGAATCCCATCATGAGGAATGCTGAGGCGTTGGGGTTGACCGAGCCGGGCTATACATTATTGCCAACTGGGATCCAGCCCCATCCCTAAGCCCTAAATCCTAGTCCATCATGACCCTTAGACCTGAACCCGTAGCCCGAAACACCTAGACCTTAGCATCTACCGGGTCTCCCGACGTGAGTTTGTTAGTGCATCGATTGGTGAGCCAGCTGCCTCAAACCCGAATCTCTCTGAAAGGCCCAATAGCGCCAATCAAAAACATCAACAGACATCACCAGTTCGAAAGTCACCCTAAACGTCCTTGACCCATCGTGCTCTGCAAAGAAGCAGGCTCGAAGCAACAGCGCGCAGGCTGGTCTTCATGATTAGTGCGTCTGCATCTGGTTTGGGTTGACTGGAAGCGCAAGTCTTGTTACAATGTGGTTGCCGCGATACTCCGTGCAGGCACCAATGCTCTGAATGGCTTTTTCAGGGTTATGCCGTGATGACGATGCTGTTTATTGGGACAAGGGCCCAAGCGATTATGCGTTAAATCCCGATCGGGATGGATACCCTGTAAAGGGGTTCTTCATCCGATCACAAGCCCACTTCCCATTGACTCAGGAATTCCTTGCTTTACCCTTCATGTATAACCTCAGTCATCGTTCCTGTCGTTGTTCCGTAGATATACTTTAGCACAACATGAGGGTCTGAGAGCCCCGGGCCGCATGCAACTGTAGGCGACCTTCTTCCCGCAGTCTGATGATCAAGCCTCGGATTTCTCCTCATGCACCTGAGTACTGCACTTAAATCTTTGCGAAACTAACACCTTGAAGACCCTATTCCGCTCGTTCCCCTGAGTCGAAGGGAACCCTAAACCCTATCAGCTCTTGATAACGGCCATAACAGCTCAACAAGAAGACTACAGTAATGGGCGAATCCTCAGCCCTGTAAATTAGAAAAGAGAAGCCTCAAAAGAGACAGCCCGAAACCCCAAAAATCCTCCTAAGTGCAGAAAAAAGCAAAGTCCTGAAGTGCAGAAACAGAAATTTTACACATGAAATATGTATCTTAAAGATATTTAGATGATAATCATTATTTCTAAGAAAATAGAATATTGATTTCTATATTCCAAAGAGACATTTCGCGGAGGTGCAGGCCGAGCTTCAGAAGCTCGAGCTCCTCAGTGCACAGGCCGGACGTTGAACCCCGGCCCGAAGGAAGGGGTGGAAGCCCCTAAAGGGTTTAGGGTTTAGGGTTTAGGGTTTAAGGGTTTAGGGTTTAAGGGTTTAGGGTTTGGGTACAGGGTATTTCAGGGATGTTTTGGGAATTGTTAGATGTCTCAGGGGGCTTTAGGGCTCTAGGACTGTTCAGACTTTTGGAGCCTGTCGGGCTAAGGTGTTCGGTTCTAGCGCTGTTGGACACTCGGGCTTTGATTCACGAGCTAAGGCTTTAAGGTTTTGGCTTGGAGCCCTTGTGCTTATAGGCCCCATAAGGAGTCCTTATCCGTGTGAAGCCGAGGGGTTCCAAAGCAGAAGCCCGTAAGTCTCAAAGACACCCCGAAGGTCCGAAGCTGGGCTGAACGACAAGAGATGAAAGGGGTTGAGCTTTGGGCATGAAGGGTCCCTTACTTATGCCGGCTGCTTGTCTTCCATGGCGGCGACCTACGAAAACCTTTTAAACAGGCTCTTAACCCCGATGCCCACCCCTGTTTCCAGGATGTGACTCAACGGAGCCAGGAAGCCCGGAGCAGGTCTCAGGAAAGGAATTCGGAGCCCTTCTTTGTGCTTTTGTCTTGGGTATTTGGGGTTCACCGTTTCGGCTCGGGACTTGGAGTGAAAGGAACTTTGTGCAGCGGTTAGGGCCTTGTTGGGTCAGTGGACGTGGCTTCCGAGTTCTGGCCGAGTGGACGCTTAGATGTCGACAGGTTTTCAGCCTGTGAACGCACAGGAGGCATCGATGATCATCGATGCTTCGTTGAAAGCTCACTCTGAAAGCTCAATTCAACGTATAGGGTTTAAGGCTTCGGGTTCAGGCCGCTTGTAGGGTTTGGGAGTTTTCGGAGGTTAAGGGTTAAAGGCGTCGGGTTCAGGGTTTTAGGGTCTAGGGTTCAGGAAGGGCGAGAGGCCAAATACCGCTAATACGTCGTGGGCTTACGCGCACTCCGGAGCATTTTACTCTACCCGTTATTAGTTTAGGGTACAGTGTTGTTGCATTTATACCCAAGGACACTTCGCAAGCGACTCAGCTTGTAAGTGCTCACCCTCTGCAAGTCTTCTCGAAGGACCTGAAACTGAAACTGCCGGGAAGAGACTTCCAACACACAAACTCAAGAGTTTGTCAAGAGGCTTTCGGGCCTTACGCTTGGTGGGGGCTGTAAAGCGCAAGCCCTGAAATCCAAGACCTTCCCGAAACTCTCAAATGCTGAACACCTGGCATGAGCAGCTATCGAAAGCTCTAGGCCCCACTCCTCACAAGCCACGCCTGAGGCGAGAGAGCCAAGCTGAGCGCAGGGATTCGCGGAAAGGCTGGCACCTGTAACTTGAAGCCAAATACCCCCGCAGAACCCTAAACACACATCGAAATGGGATTGCGAGCAGGGGCACCTAGGTCGCAGTCACTTGGTCTTAATGTCAAGAAAGTCTGCTCAATGCCCCAAGGCATATAGTTCTTGTTCGGGATGTTGACAGGCTAACGGGAGTTCGTTCATGAGTAAGGTGCATTCGACACACATTCAGTAAACCAAAGCGGAACCGTAGACAACAGAAGTTGATGTTTTTGATTTAGTGCTTGGGCCCATTTTTACCTCTACTATTAATACCTGGAATGATTACTATGCCTGTTCCTTCTATTGGTACCACTACATTATGACAAGTATTAGTATTTGTTTAAATGCTATAAACACGCTTAATGCTGTTAACATGTTCATAGTATATCTAGGTTCCATCTCGCACAATGCCTATGCATTACAAGATGTGGGGCTTGGGGCTGAAGGCTTAAAGGGTAGAGACCTTCAGCCATAACCCTCCGCTTGCCCTGGCAGATGTCGCAGCTCAAGATCGAGCTGGAGCGCCTCCAGCGTGAGCTGCAAAGTTGGGACACCCAGGAAGCTTCATGCGCCCTTGCCCCTGAAACCCGTTCTGGGATGACTTATAAGGTTGAGAGCTTCGCTAATAAGCTCGAGATCCAAAAGCATAGCTACTTGCCATGGAAGTGGAGGGTTTGGGACACCTCAAGACTTGAATTCTCAACCTCTGCCTGTCATCTACCCGTAGCAAATGCAACGTTCCCTAAAGCCTGAACTGTCAACCCGCACAGTCCGTAGTCTTAGAGGATCTGCAAAATCCAGGGGCGGAATTATACACAGTTTTTCACCTTACCGTCCCTAAATGTGTCGGTATAGCATCATATACCTGAAGACTCCAACCTAAGTACTACATAGCTCAAGCACAACATACCGCTGAAGCCAATTCTATTTATTTTCAAGTCATAGACTTAAGACAACCTTAAAACCCATTCTTGGATTTAGGACGGACTCGGCGGTTAGATGGCCACATGGGGATCGATGACTGGTTCACGGGTGCCTAGACCAAACATCTTGATCCTTGAGCCCCAAACCCGAAGCCCAAACTCCTTAAGCCTTTGAGTGTCATGCCCTGAGCTCCTTCGAGCTTTAGAGGCAAGCGAAACTAAGGACATGTTCCAGGTCCCTAGCCACTCGGGGGTCGGAGCATTAACCAAAAAGCCACACACCTCATTGTTCTCGCAGGGCCCCGTTAAGCATTGGACGAATGGCCATCATGGAAACCTGGCTCAAGTTCCCAGTCCGATTGGTTGGAGACTCCTCGACGCTGCAAGTTTTAAGTCCGTCTCGAGCTCCAGTCTCGATCGATATTTCGAGCGATGGTTCAGCAGATGATCATGTGGCCTGTGCCTCACCATCAAACCTAATAAACCCGGAGCCTGTTAGGACATCTATTCGCCCCAGATATTTGCCAAGGCCTCGCGGACAACAGCAGCGAGAATGAGGTCCAAGTACTGTTTTGAAGTTTGGTTTCTTGGTTTGGGAGTAGCATAGGGAAGTGGCAAAGTTAATTCTGCAACCCTTAGCCCTACGACTCTAGACACCCCAACCTATATAAACCGGAAGCCCCCAAGCCCTGAGCCCTAAAAACCCCCAAAGATTTTTCGAAACCCTCAACAAACCTGTAAGGCTACATCCCTGAGCCCTAACTTCTGAACCACCACCCTCAACAAGTTCGCGGGCATATATTCAGGTCTCCGAAGGGTTTAGGGTTTTGGAGTTTAGGGTGTTGAGGTTTTGGGGTCTAGGGTTTTACGGTTTTGGGGTTTAGGCTTGCGGGGTGTTAGGGCTTTAGGGTTTTGGGGTTGTAGGGTTTTGGGGCGTTGGGTTCGGGGTTTAGTGTTTAGGTTTTTGGGGTGTAGGGTTTACGGGACGATGGCACTGTGTACCTTCTTGGAGGTTGTTGATGGGGTTATATGTAAGGGAAATTATTGCCCCATTTATAACTACTCCTTGACCTCCAAGTTGAGCTACCGTAACTTGTTTGGGAGGGTTTAGGGTTTACATGAAGGAAATTTGATTATGGTTAGGGTTGTCCCAGCATCAGATTTTGGGCCTGTACAGTAGAGTTTAAGGTGGCCGTTTGGAGTTTTGTAGCGATACATATCTTGTACACAGGACAATCCGCGTGAACAAATGAGGAAGCCAGGTCGTACTCCAGCGCACAATGCTGCCTTCACACATTCCGCGAGGTTCTGAAACACCAACCAGGCCTCATGGAGTTTCTGGTCAGTGCCCACCATGACCTGCGGGGTCATGAAATCGTAAGAGTCTTCGGCTCAGACCATCCCCCTACGCAAGCCCTGGCTTTTGTTTCGACTTATTGTGGCAAGATACTGGAGCTAGTCGCTCTTACAACTCATGGGAGGTCCCGTGAGGGGTCTTCGGCCCAGATCGTCCCTGGCCCTAGTCCGAACCGTGAATGATAGACATATGTAACGACCGAGATACTAGCCAGCATGCTCTTACCCGCATGCTGAGATCAGTTATTGCGCCGTTAACATTGTCCCTCGCGACTGCTTACCCGAGAAAGAGAACCTCATCAGGGCGGCGAAAGTCCCCAGCCGGTGCAGTCTTACATCCGCCCTACACATGTGAGATTGCCTTGACGCATTCCCAAGCAGCACCCAGGGGCTCTTTCAACTTATGGTGGGCGACTCGGGTTACCAGAGCTGTGCTTTGAGAATCCTCCAACCCTGGGCCGTCTGGGGGGTGGGCAAGTCTGCAGACTGCTGCTCGCTCACAGAGCGTGCTTCTTCTTCTTCGCACACCCCGACGAGCCCTGGACCTGGAAACCCTCAACCTACACTAAAAACCCTTGGTTTTAAATCGTTCGACCACAAGGCCCTGCTCCCAAAGCCTTGCGCCCTAGAGCCCTACAACCCACAGGTGACTCGGAAGTCCATAACCCAATTCAAAGATGAGCTCGCCCAGGCTCGTCCTCCGGTTCTGGTTTCTATGGCTCTTTTGGGTTTTGGGGTTTCGGGCCAGGCTCGGCTCAGGGCTGTTTGTTGATTTGCATACTTGTGACTGCTTTTGCTAGTTTCGTACATGTTGCCAGTACCATGCTTCTGACCTGTGGCCTCTGAGGATATCCGACTTGATTTCAGGAACTTGGGTTCCATGCTGCTGAGCCTGGCGCCATAGGTAAGGATCAGGCACGGGGCATTTAGGTTTCGGGATCTGGGGCATTGAGTTCTGTGCACGAAGGTGATGCTGGCGGTGATGACGACTTTGCGTAACAGTTCCCATGCGCTGCTACTGGCTAGATCCAAACTGACGGTAATTGCCGATCTACTCCGTGCTGAAGCCTATAGCAACAAAACCGGCGAGCACCAAATGTTGCTTCTCGGGATCTGGGTTACTAGTATCGTGTGGGCTGTAATTGTTAGCATTCTTGGTGTCACCTTCATGATGCGTTCGGCTGCTGTTGCATAGGCCCAGGCATCTTGATCCTCTTCTCACCACGAGCCTCAGGATCTTGGCCGTCACAACATGTCCGTCAGTAATGGGTATCGATTTGGGGATAACGTTTAACTTCCCTTATTAATGTTCGATGTAGATATAGAGACCTAAGTATACATGATTTTCGGGAAGTGGAATCGGCACCTAGATGATACCAAGTATGTCGGCACTGCAGCTGGTAGCCCTGGCTGCACACCCTAAATACGAAACCCTGCACCAGTGGCCAGTGGCCACCGGATTCCGTAAACCCAATTATCTAGAGAGCGCAAGTCATATAGTTATGAGTCGGAGGAACTCAGGAATGCGATTCATGATTTCTATTCTTTACGGCTCCTGATATTATACAGTACTTACAGCATAATCACCCACAAAGCCCGATTCGAAGACCCGGGACGCTCCAGGAAGCCCCTTTGCCGTCTGAGGGTTGTATTTATGAATGCCTTTGGGTTTGTTCTTTCAGTGCCTAAAGGCGGTTCTCGGGGGTGTCGGGGTCCATAGCTTTGAAATCGAGGTCATGGATCCGGTCTCATGGCGCGGGGTTTTGAGCATCAGCGTTTACCACAGCGCTCAAGGTTTTGGATTGTCGCTTAGAAGTTTTCCGGTTTTAAGATGCAAGACGAAACTCTTAATCATGATGCTTGTCGCCAGCATTTTGCACCAAGCTGCCACTCACGACTTGCCACGAGACGCCACTGTCGCAATGGGGAAGGCCAGGTACCGGTTTGGGGATTTGGTTGCGATTTGGGGTTAAGGTTTCAGGGTGTACTGGAGAAGGCTCCTACGAACTGACCACCCGGACAGGACTTGCTGTTGTGAGAGCTCACACGAACCCGAATTTCTCTATACCCTAGGACTTTGAAGTTGAAAGCCTAGCCCCCCATCCGCCCAAGGCTTACGCCATGGGTCCTATGCCCATGCCCAAAGATACATCATTTGGAATCAACTGGTTCATTGTGACGCTCTAGGCCATTGCAGCTTGAAGTGTTTTCCCATGTGTTCGGGGTTCACTTCGGTGAGTGGGCCGCGGCCTCAAGCGCTCCGGGTGCAGAGGTAAAGGTAGAGGTTTGCTGGCATCAGGCCAGGATTCGCCAGCTCTTCCGCGTAACCAGAGAAACATCGTATCATTGTAGTAAACCCAAACTTGGGCCCGGCAATCATCCGATGACATCTAAAACTACACAACCCTCCACTCGGAAGCCCTGCATGATGGCAGCAATGACCCCAGGCCGCCCCCGGCTCAACCCTAAACTTTTCTAAACTTTAAAGCTCTTAGTCCTGAGACGTGGGACCTGATTTATAGCTTTTTGTGGTGCAGGCAATGGCGAACATCATGAAGGCCAAGCGCGTGACGCAGCTTGGCAGAAGGGCGAGAAGAACCCGGCAGCAGCCTGTGTCGTGAACGATTTGGGGCTTTAGACTTTAGGCCTTGTTGTGGCCTGCAGCACGAGTTGGCAGCTGGCACCTAGAATGGTTTGGATTAGTTAGTGTCCAGTTCTGGGGCTCTTCTTTGGAAGTGATCTATTGTGTAGGTATTCCAGCTTTTAGAAAAGAGGCCCCAATCTCGAGCTGGTAGCGGAGCCTCCTCATTGAGCTCCACATGAACTACCCACAGACCAAGTAGGCCTTGCAGCAGCAAAGCCCCGTGTCCTCCAAGACATCTTGCTCTTGGGGAACCAAATAATCAGAGCAAGATCTTGGCTACTTACGTCAAATCTCCTTAACCCGTGTTTATAGACAACATCACATCTGTATATACGTACACATAAGTATGTATAGTACACATATATATATATATATATATATATATGGAAAAGTATACAAGGCGCACAGACAGCACAGGCTTAGCGAAAAATAAACCTCAGACTTCTTTTTCCCTTACACCCCGAACCCAAAGCTCAATGTCTCATGGATTCAGATGTTCTGTGGATTCAGAGTGGTCCTTTGTTTGGCTCAGGCCTGAGATCAGCGCTGCCACAGGCTGGGAGAACGGAATGGGTTTAGGGTCAGTTTGTTGCGTTTTAGGGCCTCGCATGCTCTTGAGATGCTGCGAGCTGCGGGAATAGAGTCTCGGAAGACGGGGGTGCCTGCTGCAGGGCTGATGCTGATGGTCCTGCTACGATACAGCTCGTGCTTCTACTCCTTCTCCCATTCGCGTTTCTGCTGACCCTGCTACCGCGACGGCTGCTGCAATTGCCACAGCGTCACTGGACGTCGCTTGGGGTGCAGATCGTATGCGAACCGTGGGCCCTGGGGTGAACGGTTTAGGGCTCGGAACCTCTCCAGAAAGGCTTGCATAGGGGTGGATTAGCTATCGACCAGCTGGTGTTATGGTTTCCGGCTTATCCAACATGAAAAGTTACACTGTTCTTGGTTTCAGTAACTCAGTACAACGAGCATCGAGTTCCGAAGGCGCCATATCCGGTGAGTCCGCGGCCTCAAGATCTGAGTGGTAGAGGCTCAAGGACACAGATAGGTGTCCTGAACCTCAAATTGTTACAGCGTTTTTCGTCATCAGCATTGGCACCATGACCCAAACGGTTGTGATTCGTTATCTTAGCACTCGTTGGGTTTTGAGTCTACTACTCTTACTACCCCAGTCCTTACACCCTAAGCGCGTCTCATTCTTGAAGGCCCAGCTCCACAACCATGGACCAGCCAAGAAAGTCTGCACCCTAAAGCCTCCTGTAAACTTTAAACGCTGGAAACCCTAGAAACTATAAGCCTATAAGCCCTAACTCTAAACGCTGGAAACCCTATAAACTATAAGCCCTATAAGCCCTAACTCTGCAACTTGACAGCCAGGCCTGCCTAAAAGGATCCGGCAAGATCGCGGGGCCAAGGCAGCCAAAAAGGCAGCGAAGATGACGAAGGAGGCGACTCCTTGGCAGCACCTGCGTTTTTGGTCGGCCTAAATCATCAAATTCCTTCGCCCCTGACCCTGAATAGAAGCCCTGAAAATCACAGAGAGGTATACCCCAGCTTTATTCTTTCAACGTGGAAGGTTTCGCACGTTGTCACTGAAAGTTTGTGGTTTGGAATGAATCAAGATTGGTTCCTGCTTCACTTTCCAAAAAATGAACCACCACAAAACTGACAAGTGTTCGAGGTTACTTTAACCATGTTCCGTGCCCCGAGCTGGAGAGCCCGATCAAGCCGCAGTTCACATGGATACGTATCTGTACCAGGAAGGCAGCATCTGCTGATATGATGCTGCTGCACCGCCGCACCCCGAAACCACACAAGGAATGCGGGCAGCAGGGATGTTGCGCGTTGCGCGTATGTAATGTACAAGGATGATGGCAGCATCGGATTTAGAATAAGGCCCGCCAACACCACAGTTGCAGCAGCAACGCCCCCTAGGCCGTAATCTTTCCTCCCATCTTTACAGCATCCGAAGCGAACCTACAGTTGCATTCCCGAAACTAGCAGCCTTTGCCAGACCTGGCGCAAGTACCAGACTGCAGAGTACCACGAGGATGGGGAGGGGGCTTAATGAGGGGACATTATATACACCATACCTCACTATGTGGGTGTATGCATGTATGTCTGAATGTATGTATCTTTGTCTGTCTGATGTATGGATGTATGTAATGCTGTATGTGTGTATAATATATATATATATATATATATATATATATATATGTAAATAGAATATAATGTGTATATATATATATATGTATGTGTATAGAGCTCTGTATACATATATATATATACACACACACGCAATATGGGGGGGTCAGAATGGACTGTAATTCTAAAGCCCTTACTTAAGCATCGTATGTTGAGGATCTTTCTAGCTAGGGCCTATATTAAGGTACCTTACTTCTGCGATTCCCAAATATGCGACGGATTAGGTGTAGATTCAAGAGACTGGTTACTTCTCTCATGACATCCCACGCCCATTCGTCAGCCTTGTTAACCCATCCCCTCATTGGGCCCTAAATTCAAAACCCTAAACATCCCTAAACCTTAAAGGGCCAGCCCGACGGAGCCGTGCAGATTTAGGATTTCGGCTGTTGTGAGGTAGGATAGGGCCCGGTACGGAAGTTAGAGGTCAACAGAAGGGTTGGGTTTGGGGTGTGAGAATCTCAAAGTTCAGACGCTTCCGGCACAAGCAAACAGACAAGGAGAGACAGGATCAGCATAACATAGAGGCCTCAATAATGAGAACCGGTTGTTGGGGTACGCCGCGGGTGTGTTGTTGCAGTATACCAGAATAAGATGCAGTATAATCTACTATCGTACACTCTACTAGACCATACTGTACTATACTATACGTATTGTACGAGAATGTTGGATTTGTGGACTGCGCTCAAGGTCTCCACCGGCTTCCTGTAGTGGCCATTACAGTGGGAAGCATGTAGAGATGTAACCTGATAGGCTGGGTAGGTAACTTTTAACTTTCTGAGGCTTCTAGAATAAGGTCAACCCTTGTAGTACCAGGATACTCAGCCGGCAAGCGATCCCTC